TCTGGGGGATGCCAGCAGCTCCTACATCATTGGCAGTGTGAGTACCAACCACCTTCTCACTTGCAGCCTGGCCTCAGTTCCAGCGTGGACAACGCAGGGAGCTCAGAAACACGACCTGACTGGCGATGAGTGAGGAAAGGAAGACACGTTCACGTCTGACCTTTCACAGGTTTCGGCAGCTTCTTAGCTCGGGGACTGCTGCACTGTCAGACAGACCTCTCTCAGCAGGAGGTAGGGTGTCTCATGACACTAATCCTAGAATAACAGGGGGTAGTTCTCCCAGCCAATATTTACCCACCAACTGGCCCACCATGTTAACAACTATGACATTTCTGCACATTATTTCATTGTGGTTTGTGGGATATTGCTGTGCACCGTCCCGTTATGGTGACTGTAAAACACTTTTGGGGTGTCCTCGGACTTAAATACTTGTGCCAAGGTCCTTTTGGCACCTACACATGGCGCATGCTGCTGATGGCCAGGGGAGGCGCGGAAGGACATCCTAGTTTAACCCTCCCTGAGCCAAGGCAGCTGCTGAAATGCTGCCAGTCAGAAAGAGTTACATTTCCACAACCTCAGGAGCATCCCCGAACAACTGACAGCCTGGAACTTTGAAGAGAACGGTTGCCGTTGTCACGAAGGAAACCCAGTAGCCAATTTGTGCACAACTAGCTCCCACAAACAGTACCTGTGGAAACAACCAGATAAGTTGTTTTGGTGATGAGGGGTGCATAAATGTGGGTTGGGGCTTAGGGGATACCTGCCCTGCTCGACTTCAAAACATTGCCCAGGGATCTTTAACTGCAGCTGGAAGGACAGGCAGAACCTCCATTTAATGTTGGCTCCAACTATAAGGCACTTCCTCAGTACAGTGTCACGGTGTCAGCACTGATGGTTGTACTGGTCTGACTGTGCCACAGCTAACACTGTTACCCACTGACCCTCAGCTAATACTGTCTGACTGCTTTAGGAACAGGAGGAGGCCTTTTAGCTCCTTGAGCAATACCATCCCACTGTCCCCACCCCCATTTTACTCTCTCTCTCTCTCTCCCTGATAATCATTGTTGGTGACTGCATGGAATCCCAGCAATGGCCATCCTGGGGACCAGAGAATTATTAGTTTATCACATGGTTACCAGAGGGGGCCTACACTTAAATGGGACAATTGGCCCCCAACTTTTAAGCAGCAGCAAAGTTCTCCCCCAACCCATAAAACCCAAACATCTTATGTACAGGGTGGGGTGAATCACAGAGGAGGGCAGCCGTGAGTGTTTTTACGCCTCAGTAGGAAGAGCTGGACAGGCCTTTGTGCAGTAAATGGTTGATTTTTGTGACTGGCCTCTCCGCAGATCTCCGATGCTATCCAGAAGACCCGTCCAGCCTCCAGCTTTTGGAAGTTTGTGAGCCTGGAACATGCCTTCCTGCTGTGCCCTTTCGTTGCTGTTGTTAGAGGAGCCTTATTCCTTTGGACAGCAAATCATCTGGAGGAGGATCGGCTGAAAGCGTCACAGATCTATCAAGGTAATGGGGTGAGAGTTAAATCATGGGGACGCTGTGAAGGTGGTTGTGGTGGTTGGAGATGCATCATCTCAGTCTCAGGGCATCGCTGCAGGAATTCCTCACAGTAGATAATTTCGAATAAACCCATTCATAGATATTGCATATCTCTGGTGGGACTTGAACCTGGACCTCCTTGGCCAAAGGTACGGGCACCACCGGTACAAGAGCCTCAGTTCATCAGAAGTGGGGATGTTCGCCAATGACTGTACAGTGTTCAGCACCATTCACGACTCCTCAGATGCTAAAGCAGTCCATGTTCAAATGACCATAAGACCATAAGACAGAGGAGCAGAAATTAGGCCATTCGGCCCATCGGCCCATCAAGTCTGCTCCGCCATTCAATCATGGCTGACAAGTTCCTCAACCCCATTCTCCCGCTTTCTTCCCATAACCCTTGATCCTCTTGATAATCAAGAACCTATCTATCTCACTCTTAAATGCAACAAGATTTGGACAATATTCAAGTTTGGACTGACTTATTCAAATCACATAAGTGCCAGGTAATGTTTGTCTCCACCAAAAGAGAATCTAACCACCCACACTTGACATTCAATAGTATTATCATCACTGAATCCCCCACATTCCTTGATTCACGATTGACTGGAA